TATAAAAATGTGTTGTTCAATAAAACCAGAATGTTATGAACACAACTTTCAAATGTATGTAGTTTGTTTAAAGCGAAAATATTAATATATGTGTTTTATGCCCTTACAACCTCCTTAAGTCCGGATCTACAATGGGTGTTTTAAGCTATAAGAAATTGACCAATTACAGTCGAATCCGAGAAGAATAAGCGACTGTGATTCGCCCATTTCTAAGGGTTTTAAGCCTTAAACCGTAAGAAATTGACCAATTACAGTCGAATCCGAGAAGAATAAACGACTGTGATTCGCCCATTTCTTATGGCTTAAGGCTTAAAACTTTATTGTAGATCCGGACTAATGGACCGTTCTATAGAAGCATATGAAAGTGAAAACGTTTGAAGCGTTTGTAGCGTCAAGTAGCTTTACTGTTCTTAGGTCCGATTGAACCAACGTTACTTTGACTCAATCGAAGCTCTTCTTTCTTTCTCTTTTTAAAGTCGACAGGAAGACAGAGAATTCTTAGGTCCGATTGAACCAATGTTACTTTGACTCAATCGAAGCTCTTCTTTCTTTCTCTTTTTAAAGTCGACAGGAAGACAGAGAGGGAGTTTTAACCTCGCTTAAAGTTAAAATAACGTTGATGCAATCACCCTTATTCTACATTTTTCTATGTGCCATGGGCTCTAATTTCATCGCAGTGTAAAAAAAAATATAAATCGTGTGATCACGAAGTCCGAATTCTCAACGCCGCGAAAAAAAAAGATGTGGAAGAAAAACAAATAAGGGAAGGCACGTTGATTCTCTCCGTGTCGCATACGAATGACGTGACGCATTTGATGCGAGACGCATCATCATTCGCGCGTCACGAAATGTCGACAGGATGAATTTACCCAGCTGAAACACACCGGCGACCATCGCGTTTGTTTTTTCCCCCCAATTGATAAATCGCGGGAAGAAAGAATAGCGCGCTGCGAATCGAGTGGAGTAGAAAAATACACGCATCGCGACGTTGCTGAGTAAACGCTCTCTATCCAACATTTCACCTCGTGGCAATGGAAGCGCAGTGATCGAACTATCGAAGGCACGACGCATTTAAGTCGTTCACACGACGCCTTCGCCCGAGTCCGATCACGCCGATCACGCTCGTCACGAGAGAAACGATCACGATCGCCAACGAACGCATATTCCGCGGCAAATGTTTCCGACAGATCGCGTCTGAATGCCGGCAACTTAATCGTTTGAGAAACTATATTAAGAGATTAGGAGACTCGGCAGACCGGCTAAACGGCACCGAGTGGAACGCCACATCGAGCTCGATGTGACGTTATGTCGAATCGTTCAAACGTATTCCAGTTGATGTCCGTTATTTACTCGATCGCACGCGACC